AAAGCCTAAAGCGGGCGGACAGCAGCCAACCTCATCGTTCCTGGTATACTCCCCAAATTCCTCAAAAAAAATTCTTTATAATTGTTATATTACTTATATTGGTATGTATACTCTATATTAAAGTTAAGAAATTGTATATTAAAGTACAAACTCTTATTTGGCGAAATGAAGCAGATGACAAGTAATAGGAGTTGAGGAGAAAATTGTGCACACCAAGGTGTGGAATGTAGAGGGAAAATATCGGAAGACTTTTGTACATCGAGGAGACCGGACTGGTGTGCCACAACTGTCTCTTCTGCTCCTGGGGTCTTTAGGGCCATAATGGCTATCAAGCTTCATTAAGAGTTAAATTTTTTGAGCACAATGTTATTTTGCACTGGTTACTAGATAAGGATGGCACAACCTTGGAATTTGGGGAGTATACCAGGAACGATGAGGTTGGCTGCTGTCCGCCCGCTTTAGGCTTTAGCTTATCAAGAGGAGGAATTTGAAATATCTAAGACGTGCAAACACCAGGTGTAATCAATCATCATGCCATCCTTAGCTGAATGTAGTGATCCTCTAAGTTAAGAATAAAAGGCCTCGAAGTTCTGATCTTGTGGGCTTCGATGCAGACCTGGTCCGGAGGGGTGCTGCATGCTGGCTGTATTGGGGTATCTTCGTTATCGTTACTGGGGCTCCCGATACCAGATTGAAGAAAGTTGCTTGCTTGGTAATGTATTAATGCCTGCTTATTAATAAAGATCATTTAACTTCTCTCCACTTGTGTCTTCATTGCTTCTGAATCTTATAAAAAAAGAACCATCGCCTTTGGCGAAACAGGGGTATCCACATTTTGTCTGTTCGGGCCAAGCTTGGCATTCCAAAAGCGTGAAGACCAATGGCCTTTGGGGGAGGCTGTCAAACATGTTAAGGGGCAAAAATGTACCAGCATTTGGCCTTCCTTCCCCAACTGCAAAAACAAACAAAAAAACCCACACCATTTCTGGCCCTGGTCATTCTGGGATACCCAAGGGATGTTGGCATCCCACTTCTTGCATTCATGGGTGAAAGAACAGTGTGGGCACAGCCATGGTGTCAGAATGCAGTGGTTAACTAGAACACACAAAGTGCTTTAAGCATAGCCCTGAATCTTGTGAGCACGTTCTGCACCTCCCCTCGGCACAAAATCCTCTGAAATTATCAGGAAAATCCACAGGTAGGGTTTAAAAAAGTCAGGATGGAGGCCATGATAGTGCAATTGAAGTTCCACCTTTTTTTTTTTTACACGCAACAAGCGGCATTTTGATTGCCTTGTCACATCTTGACTATTTTGACCACACTGCGCAGACACCCTAGAAACTAGAATCCTCAGAAGTTTAAGCAAAATCAGATGGAAACAATGGAACTGCAAGAACACATTAGCATAAAATGATCCTATTCAAAATTTCAAGGCAAAGCATGCCTCTCTCCAGCATAATTTATTCTCCTCTTCCTAGTTTTCCACTTCTCCTCCCAGTGTTCATAAATGTTTTCTCTACCCTTTCCCCTTCACCCCACTCTTGTTTTTTCCTGGCGTTTCCATTCCTTGCATATTGATGGTGTCCTTTTGTCTATATAACCACCAATCATAGAAGAATGAATTTGCTACAGTATTAATCTATGGAATAATAATAATAATAATATTGTAGAGAAAAAAAATATTAACCTGGATTGAATTCTCTTTCCACTGAAGCAAATGAAAACAGCCTTTTGCAAATTGTTGTCTGAGATTGCTTCAGCAAAACAATGGTCAATTGTTATTCTTCCACTTGGACTGTGGACTACTCAAAACACATCTACTAATTTTCACAAGACTCCTGCCCTTTTCAAACTACAGATATTGCCACTTTAGTCCTAGTCACAGGCTACAGCAAAATGAATGGGAAAATATATGCTGTTAAAAACCTTAAAAGGCCATAAAATGGGATTTTTCCCCCAGAGGTCAATCTTATTTTGGAAAATGGTTTTTTTTTTTCATCTTGATAATTTACCACAATCCCACCTTCGTGGTTGCTTCTCCATTGACCTCAGGTGGACTTAGAGCGACCAATACTGAATGTTTGAAAAGAGCACTGGAATTCAAATGTGAGGTTAGATTCTAAACATTCAATAAAAATAAGCCAGTTTAATCCTTCTGACAATTAGTAGCAATGAACTATAGTTAGAATATGGAAAGCTGAACCTCATAAAATTGTCTACAAACTCTTGACACCAGTTCAGGACTGATGGCTGAAGTTCCCTTACATAGGATCGTGTAGAGAAGACATCCTTCTGTTTGGATAGCCATTCCTTTGGTCTTTCCTTCCAATCAGGGTCATGTTATAAATTAAAAAATGTTTTATAAACCTACTAGGTGACAACTGAATCCTTTTCTGGCACTTCTCGATGCTGCCTCTGAAATGCAAGTTGAAAATAAGACAATAGATACAATTTTTCATTGATGAAAGGAAAAAGGGAGTACTTAATCCCAGATTTTATTTTTATTTTGTAAATATATACACTCATATTTATAAACGATTACATCACTTTAACAACAAAGCTGAAGTTACTGAATCATTTATACACCTTGGCTGATTTTTCAAATATGGGCACAAAGATGAACTTGGCTGTTTCTAAGAATCTAAATCTAGTTGCCTTTTTCTGTGAATCCAGTGATATTTTTAATACCCAGATTAGTAATGGGCCAATTACAAATAAAAGAATGTTATAAGTACTGAAATGTTTTTTCTATTTCTTGTTTTTTCTTTTTCTTGCAGCTTTTGCCTTTTTTCCACATGTTATTTTCATAACAACCCCCTTTAATTTCTTCTTTTTCTGTTTTTCCCTCTTGCTCTCCCTGCAAAACAAGTCAGAAAAAAACAATTGCTGCATTGATAGATCAAAGAAATTGAAAAATGGCATTAAATAAATTAACCACTCTCAAAAATTAGAAATCTTTGGAAAACATATGTACTTTCCAAAAGGCTAAAATATCTGTCTGAAACTCAATCACCTGGTTGACCCAAAATGTTAAGCCATATGTGGTTTGTCTGGTTTGAGTTTAGCATGTTGTGTTAACCCAGACATAGTAATTTATTTAATAAACCATGGTTAAACAAACAGTGAAGAGCCAGTTTGGTGCAGTGGTTAAGGCACAAAGCTAGAAACCTGGGAGACTGTGAGTTCTAGTCCTGCCTCAGACACGAAGCCGGCTGGGTGACCTTGGGCCAGTCACCCTCTCTCAGCCCTAGGAAGCAGGCAATGGCAAACCACTTCTGAAAAACCTTGCCAAGAAAGCTGCAGGGACTTGCCCTGGCAGTCGCCAGGAGTCAAAAACTGACTCAAAGGCACAAAAGCAAAACAAAACAGTGGCTTTGCATGACATGTGAATCCAGCCACTGGACGATCCTGAAGACCAGAATTTCACTGGGATCAATGACTACGTTAGAGCAATAAATGCAATTTCGTCACAACATTAGCTAGCAAAAAGCATGTTCATCTTCTCTTGCCTATTTAGACTGGATATGTGAAATTTCTCTATTTGATGTTACTTTATTTTTAGCAGTCTCACTTAGCTGCCATAGCCCGTTCAAGGCACACAACCCTGAATGCAGACCAATTTTTCCACACTGAATCTTGATACAGGACTCAGACCGCAAAAAGGAACTCTGTTCTTACTTTAGAAGTGCTCATCCTGTATTGAAGTTGGGGAGAATCTACTGCCTGTTTTAGAGACAAGGCCTGTCTGATTTTGGGGGCAGGTGGAATGGAGGGAGAAAAAAAACAGCCACTCTCACTTTGCCAGATCAGCAGACTATCAACTTACTGGTCCACTCTGCGGATCCTCTGCCGATTTGGACACATGGTACGTTTGTGGTTGGTTTCTCCACAAATAAAGCACCCAGAATGAGCTTCTTTACATGGGTGACTGGGAAGAGCACAGCGATCACAGATGCTACAGTGAATCCAAGCTGCGAAATAAAGGAATGATTCAGTCTCATGAAAAGCAGCATAAAATGTTTGAATGGTTTTGTCCACAACAAAGCCAGCATGGCTGGCTGGGGAATTCTGGGAGTTGAAATCCACATGTCTTAAAATTGCCATGGTTGAGAAACACTACCTTAGAGGGACCGTTTTCAATGATGTTTTTAAAAACTGTTTTGCAGGAACCTGGAACAAAATGTTTCAGCAAAGCCTCAGCCCCAAAGATGAGAGTTCCTGTTTCTGTTTCCAGACCCCTTGGAAACCATAACCAGGATCAAAAAAGGTAGATTTTTCTAAGACTCCGAAGATGTCCCCTGACCCTGAAAGTTAAGGCCTTTCATTCAAGAAAGGCTGTCTGTTTTGTGACTGGGCTACACATTGACTCATCTTGCCAAGAAGCAAAACATGAAAACTTAACTTTTTAACAGCCATTTGATCTTGAGTTCTCTTGATCCCAGACTGTAAAGATTTTATTAAAAAAAAAAAGTACTTACAGGGTTTTACACATTTTTTGCAAAGGTCACAGTGAGTCCAACGTCTGCCATCCTATTTTTGGGGGGGAAAAAGATTAACTTGGATATAGATTTTTAAAAAATGAAGTGTCTACTACTACTACATTTACTATCAAATTTTTATTATATTCTTCTGCCTTTCAAATCCAAACTTCTACCCCCATGACATTGTAGATTCCATGCTTATTTAACTGTATTCTACTCTAGTTTTTTTTTAATTCTTTAATTCTTTTTTATTTTGTCTATGCTTCATGCTTTATATCCTTTTTAAAAAGGTTTAATAAAAATAGAATTTGAAAAAAAACATTAAAAATCAAGTCCAAAGTTTTTTAAAAAATATATATTGCTGGAGCCACTAATACAGCTGATTTCATCAGTATCTTTCCACACTCACAGGCTGAAAGATGCAAATTTAAAATGATCCAATTTTTGTCTTCTTGCAGTCAGTCCACTACAACCACCCCATGCTATAGCTCATAAAGGTCAAATCAGCTGACCCCAAGACTACATGTTTATCTGTGACCGAAGTCTAGCTTTCAATATTATGCAGAATAGTTCTTATAAATAATGCATGGACCTCAAGGTTTCTTATTATTAGAGAGGGCTAATCAGAGATTCTTGTTGGGAGAGAAATATTTCACACAGCCATCCCTTCCTAACTGTCTACTATGACCCTCCACAAAGTTCTCCTTGTTTCTTTCTAGTACCATCTAGAAAGATGGGAATGAGAAGCTTGGAATCCCATAGAGGTTCTGGATTACCACTCCCATACACCAACACGGTTGCTAGGGATTATATGGAATTAAGAGTTCCAACCATCTGAAGATACCACATTGCAGCCACAGTATACGGACTCAGCATCCTGACTTCTCAGCCCCAACTTGACCACATCTGTTCCCATTGAAGGTAGCAGCACTAAGTTAAAGAACAGCCATAACAAGAGATCTTCTCAAGGACATACTCACTTTTGAAGTACATGAATTGCAGATGTCACAGTGCTGGTTCTCGGAGCTGACATATCGCTGACAGGCAGAGCAAAACCTGAGAGAGAGAAACCAGTCAGAAGCTTTTGTGAAAAATTACTGTTAGTCCCGGATACATGGAGCCTCAGTAAGCCATATCAGTGGGTTTTCTGAGTGATGTTTTTTAAAAACTAAGAATTAGTTCTATTGAACAGAGAATTTACCTGTATCCCTCTTCTGCAGGAAGCACTATTGAACACGGGGACAGATTAGTAAAAATACGAACTGGCGATTGTTTACGGCCTCTTTTCCCATGCTTATATAGGGCATGATTGTCATAATCAACCTAGAAAATAAAGGCAGTAATGGTTAGTGAAAGGTATTCTGAGAAACCTTTCAGTGAAATGTCAAACCAGTATTGGAGAAAGCTTTATGTTGTTGTTTCTCCTATTTCCATCCTCACCTTGTTTTGAAGAATACAAGAGCCACGATAATCCAGCCTTTTTGGTTACCCAAGTGTGTGAAGTTCCTAACTTAGCATAACAATCAATATGTTCTTACCCTGGTAAGAGACAGATGCATGTATATTCTTCTGCTTTACACACAAGAGAGCCATGCCATCATTTTAGTCTATGGCTGAAATCCAAGCTTCACCCAAAACTTTATTCTGCTTGAAACCAGTGATAAGATTCGGATTAATTAGCTGTTTCAAGAAATGCACCACAGGCTAGCACTTGGTAGGGTAGAAATGAAGGTTTTGGAAAAGATATCCGGATGCCATGTGTCTATACCTACAGTTTTGTGCAGGCCATGGTTTTTTCTGTGACACCCTATGGAAGCAATAGTTGGACTTTGAAGAAGCAGGATAGAAAGAGCATTGATGTTTTTTGACTTTGGTGTTGGAGAAGACCCCTGAGAATATTGTGGACAGCCAAGAAACACAACCAATGTATCATCAAACAAATCAACCCAGAATTCTCACTCGAGGCGCAAATGACCAGACTGAAATTATCTTATTTTGGATGCATTATGCAAAGACCCAGCTCTCTTGAGAAGAAGATGACTGCAGCAAGGTGGATGGACTTGATTACAGTGAAGATGGGTGCATTGTTGGGAGGCGTGAAGGACCAGGTTGGGGACACCTCATCCTGAAGGCCTTTAGGGAAACTGTGGGAAACCTGGGTTGATTGCATGAAAAGGTGGCATGATTTCTTCATAGTTTGTTTTGGGGATAGGCAAATATACTTTAAAATAGAGCCACCGCTATCTTGACTCTTATACTGAGGATTGATTTTACAGGGACTGTTATCTCCTTTCTTACTGGGTCTTTCTGTGATAGAAAAATATCTTGGATTGATAGTGTGTTTGTCCTCATTTACTCAGATGACCATCTGATCAAGCACAAGAGGCCTGGGCAGAGATCTGGATTTGAAAACTTAAATGTCCTTTGATCTGCACACAACACCTATCAGGAATGTTTTAAAGCAGCGGCATCTTTTCCTAGCCTCGCTCCACATCTTCCTTGGAGAAATTTATTATTTTTTTTAGAAAAAGAAAAGGGACTGATTCAGTCAATGGTTCAGCACAAACAAAATTTAAAGCAATCCATAATCAGAAACAGAGTAATTCTGGAACTCACAAAGAAGTTTGCACCCAAATTTGAACAAAAGTTATACAGATTTCTGTTGAGTCTCTTTGTCCTTACCTGATAATCCAACATAGTGAAACTTGGAAAAAATTCAAGAATGCGTGATTCAAAAAAATACGGAAATATCCAAAGGATAGGTAGCTCTTTGCTGGCAGAATCTAATAAGCAAAATAAGTAGATAGAGATAGATGTACTATTCACAATATTTTAAAAAGGACAGATAATAAAATTCTGCAAGGAACAATTCAGCAAACAAGCCTATTGCCTTTGCAAACAGTTTAGGGCAGTGTTTCCCAACCTCGGCAACTTTCAGATGTGTGGACTTCAACTCCCAGAATTCCCCAGCCAGCCTTGCTGGCTGGAGAATTCTGGGAGTTGAAGTCCACACATCTGAAAGTTGCCGAGGTTGAGAAACACTGGTTTAGGGAGTCCCTGTTCTTATTTTGCAGATGAAACCTTGCAGCTCACTCTGAACTGTGGCATGCTAGTTATAAAACTTTAAATAAGTTCTAATGAGAACATAGCCATTAAAGTTGTAATCATTTCCGACAGCAGATAATCACTTCAAAATCCTAGCTTGCCATCCACAATCTCAGACATAGTTACCTGCACCTCTTGCTGGGCTCCACATCGCAATCACCTTTTGGAAACTAGAAGCCAACGCTTCAACCAAGCCTCCAAAAGGCGGATCAGCCACCATGACGACATCTCTCCCTTGGTCTTGCTGCAGGAATTCCTCGCATACACTGGAAGCAGCCTGCAAGAGAGCAAAGTTTAAATCCCACCCGGAACTTTGTGACAGCTAAAAAACTGTTTGAGGAATAACAGGGGCTTAAATGAGGCTTGAATGCCTGGTGGGAAGGTTGATTATTATTATTACAGTTGGTCGCACAGTCAGCCAGATGTTTAGACTGGATTTGGCATTTTTATCCACCTATTGAGTCCTTCCCAAGGATCTGGGGTAGGCAGATGTTGTTTGATGGTATTGAAGGTATCATCACAGGATATAAGCTGTTCCAAGTAAAGCTGCCTTTTGCAATGGGCTGATGGTCATTTTGTCAATGCTGATAGTCTTCAAGTGGTGCTCCAGATGTTTTGGGATTGCACCCAAGGCACCTGTTACTGTTGGTACTATCTTTGCTTTCTGTTGCCATAGTTGTTCTATTGTTCTGATGATACTCAACGATATATCTCCATCCATGGTGAGGTAAGTGATGCCGTGACCGCCCTCTTGCGGTGCCTGGAGGCTGTG